GCCAAAATCAAATGCAAAAATGTATAGGTATTTAGATTTTATTACAGGCAGTCCTCAGACTTATGATGCAACTGGCTCCTAAAAACCGTGTCTTAAGTTGAAATGTTGTAATTCGAAACCAATTTTCCCATAGGAACAGTGTTTCAAATGGGGGATTGGTTCCTTTGCGATGGTGGATACCGTGTGCATCTGGTAAGTGGTGGAAGGGGAGGAGGAAGGGAAGGATCATGGGGTGGGAGGCAGATCAACGCCCCCTACAGTGAGGGAGGGACTGGGACTGGGGCTGGGGCAAGCACTGCCCAGGCAGGGCTGGACAGGCATGGGGAGGAGGCAGTGGTGGCTCCTGCTGATGCACACTGCTTGTCTGGTGGCTTGACTGGTGGTTACGACCCTTGCTCCCACTGCTGATTCAGGAGGGCATGGGGGGGGGTGTGCCCCTGGATCTGTGCGGGGTGGGGCGGGCAGGGCCAAGGCTGCACCAGGATGCACTCTGGGCAGGTCGCAGGGGCTATGGTAAATTTTCAGGTGGTTGCAGCTCCCCCATAACTTTCTCTCTGCTGCCCGCCCCACCCTGATCCAGGAGAACACCCTCCCATACCCTCCCTCCACTCGCCCAGCCAGGGCAGGATGGGGACAGGGCAGAGCCGCTGCGTGGCCTCAGGACAAGTGGCATGCAGTGGCAGGAGCTGCCCTGCTGTGTCCCCTGGATGAGCTGTGGCTTTGAGGGCATAGGGGGGGCATGTGCCCCCGGATCGGGGCGGGGTGGGCGGCAGAGCGGGGGCTATGAGGGGGCTGCAGCCATGCAAAAATTTGTCTTAGTCCCCACTGCCCGACTGGAGTGCAGCCCAGTACAGCCCTGTCCCTGCCCGTCCCACCCTATGCAGATCCAGGGGCACACGCTCCCCCATGTCCTCCCAGACCCGTGGTGGGAGCAGCGGTGGGAACCAACCAGTCAAGCCACCAGACGAGCTGTGTGCAGTGGCAGGAGCTGCTGACCCCCTCCCCATGCCTGCCTGGCCCTGGCTGGGCAGCACTTGCCCCAGCCCCTGTCCCAGCCCCAGCCCCAGTCCCTCCCTCACCGCGGGGGGCATTGATCTACCCTCCCCACATCCATTCCCTTCCCCCTCCCCTTCCACCAAGTACCAGCTGCATGCAGTATCGACTGTCATAAAGACGATACCCACATTGGAACATTGAAACAGGGCGTCAATTTATAAACGTCGTAAGTGCTGTTCATTGCAAATCGAAAAGTCAGAAATCGAGGACTGCCTGTTTAGTGACTGAGGCACTGGTAGGCTTCCAAACTGCTTTAAAATTGTAAATATGTCAATAAAACGTTGTGTTCAACTGATATCTATAGATATAGTGGCATTTCATTTTAATCACGAAAAAACATAGATTTTGAGGGTTTTAATCAGAGTATTTGTGATTTTTAAATGGAGAAAACCAGGATCCCCCATAATCTGGACATTCTTACATTGAAATTTTGTCAAAGGCTATAGACATGTGACTGTCACCACTACATCTCTCCAAAATTTGTATTCAATTTGCAAATCACAAAATAATCTCTGTATTCTCAAAGCATTGTTTGAATTTGGTAACAGCTATAAATGGTTTATCACCTTTTTCAATTAGGACTGGCCTCCCTTAAATAGACATAACATTTTTGCACCCAAACCAGGGTCAATACCTCCTTTTGTATTGCATTCAGTGTATTTGCATTCTGATTCTGTTAGTGTCTATGATGTATAATCCACTGGTCTACATTTTGATCACACTTGTAAATGGGTTGTACAAATACCCTTCTTTGAAACTTCCATGAAAAACGTAGTTTTGCTCTTGCTGTCATATCAACACAGGGCTGGGGCCTCTTCCATTCCTTTAGCTTGTCAAACACTTAGTTAATGTTTGTATCCCAAGTCTTTTGAACAACTTTATGCAGTAGGACTTGCAGCCCACTGGTTGGAGCAGCTGGATTAAGCACTTAATCCAGTTGTTCCTTGCTTAAATTTACCATTCCCTGCTTAGTTTACTAGTCCAAGGCATCTTTTGACTTTTCCTTGTCTGCTGGGGCAGACATGTTTGGGTTGCCCTCACCTTTACTGCCATCTACCAGAACACCTAAATCTCCTGTATGGAGATGTATTGAATCTACCCCATATACCATAAAAAATGATTGTATTCTTCAATCAAACATCTTGTGCTTAGCATATCCCAAAAGGCAGTCAGAAGAAACAGTGTGTCCTGCAAGGCGGGGGGTGAATATCCACAAACCTGAGCTCAGGGCCAATTGGCCTCTTTCCACTCTATTCTGTCAGAAAAGTCTCTGTCCTCTGTGAGGAGTTTTGTCTTTAAATTCCGCCTTTATGTATTTTGGTCTTATTAGTTAAAAGTGGTACCTAATTGTACTGCCCACAAAGAATAACCCTTTCCTAGGAAAATAACTAAAGAGTACAACTGCAAAGAAGATAAAAAGCAGTCATTTATAACTAAGTTCCTTCTGGCTAATTTCAGTCATGATTAAATTAGATTATTTAAATCACTATGATTTAAATTCATATATCCTGAATCTCTTACCCCATGAAGAACCCTTAATGAAATTGCCACTAATGGGCCTTGATACACAATAAGGGATGACTTGATATGAGTAAGGGGGACAGAATATAGCCGTGAGTGAACTCAGCCTCTCCCTTTTTTCTATTCATGAGTTACCTGTAAATGTGATTCAATATTTAAGAATTTGTCTCCTATTAAAAATTATTCTATGTGATCCAGCCTGCAAGTTGACTTCCAACTATTTCCAGGAATTTACCATTCAGTGTTTTTCAGTTATGTGGTTGGCCGCCTAAGTCAGTGCATGGCTGCTGTCTACTAATGTGATAAAACCTGAAAAAGGTCATAGTGGAAATATAGCAGATTTTGAGTAACAAAGGTAATAAACCACTGGACCAGATTATCAAGAACAGTATTCAGTTCTCAGTTACTGAATTCAAGAGCAGATGTTTTTCAAAAAAATCGTGACCTGTTTCAACCACAGGTTTTGGTTGAAAAATGGGAATAATCAGCCAATGTTCCATGGCCTGTATAATAACATTATGCAGGAATTTAAGATTTGATCAAATTGGTCATTTTGGGCTTAAAAAATTGTGAGTCTGTATTTCCTGCCTGATATAATGAACATTTCATAGGTGCATCTTTCTACCCTTATAACCCATCAGAAATCAGCAAGCAGGAAGTGATCTACTCAGATCTGAAATGTCGTGCTCCTTCCAAATCACAGAGGAAGCCAACGCCTACAGTCTCAGAGAACAGAGGTACTGTGCATCGAGAGTTCTGCTGGATTCTGCCCTTCTTTTATCAAAGTATCTGAAGTCACAGAACCTCCCTCAGGGGCAGCTGTTGCCATGACATGAGATTTCAAGAACCAAAGAATGAGAATTATCTCTACCCTTACAAGAAACAGCATCTGGCTGATGGGTGGGATCTCCCTTGAAACCATCCTTGGCCAGTGCCCAGGCCAGATCACTGAGATAGGAGAGCACTGACCCTATTGGGAGGAGTGACTGTTCTCTCCTAGGTCCTCTAACCTGTTGTTGAGTGCACAATAAATAGCTACAATTACTGGAGGGATCGTAGATTCATGGGGGTGAGATGTGAGTTTCACTGACAGGTGTGGTAGAGAACTCTACTCTCCTCCAAAATTGTGTGACATTTTCAGGTCGTATATTTGCTTTTTTCTCTCTCTTATTTCTGTTAGAATCTTGTTCTGAGTCTTTGTCATGGCAACTCATTGCAGTGATTCTGGGGTCCCTCTCTCTGGTTTTGCTTGTAATTTCAGGAGTCCTGGGTGCCTTAGGTAAGTATTTACCAAGAACACGATGAGAAAAGATTTGAACTGAAAAGTGTAGAAATGTGAAAAGTGTAGAAAACTCCTCCAAGCAATGTGCATACATGCACATTGTTATATTTTGGACCCCTTTGTGGATGATAACAACTTTAATTGCATGGTCAAGACCTATTGCATGCACTGCTGTGATTTGAAATTTTGTAACTGAAACATATGATAAGACAATGTCTTGAAGAATTTTTTGGATTTGTGACCTGAGGTTAGGTTGAGATTTCCACTGTTTATTGTTTAAATGTAGTTAGAATCATGGCAGAGAAATGCGATCTTACATCTATTGCTTTGAAAAGATTCTTCCAGCTTTCTCAGTTTTCCAAGCCAAAAGAAAGTAAGTCCCAATTCAATTTGCACAATATCAGTTTGAATCATGAGGGGGATAGCATGAAAAAAGACATTTTGATTTAAACAAAAACAATTCAGCATGTGTTTGGAGACTGGCCTTTATAAGCTGAGAATTTTTTTTCTCAAACAACAACTAGAATTTCACTAATACTTTGGTTATTTTAACATAAAAGTTATGCACAACTCTTAGCACAACTCTAATGGAATTGGCATCTGATTCATAAAGAATAATTTGGTTCTTTTTTAACTGAAATGGTGTGTTTTGCTTATCATTGCGGACTTAAGTTCTCCTGCCTTCCCTCCAAGTGAGACGTCAGATTGAAATCCTTTCCCAGCAAGAGGAAGTTCTGAAAAGCCTTACACAGTTGAATGAAACTTTGGAAAACTGCACCTTGGAAAGGGATAATTTCAAGGCCCAGAACACAAACCTGAAAGGTACTGAGTAGTGTTCATGATTCTTTTCCACACAATGCTAATTTTGCATTAGTATTCAGTTCTTTGTGTCCTGACGATGACAAAAGATTCTCACCACCCTCCTCCCCCAAGCACCCACTGTACAAGGGCTTGAATCAGTTACTGATAATGTGGAAAAGCAAAGCCAGATTTCTCTGAGACATGGGATCGCCTCAGTACAGACATAGACAATGATCCACAGCTCCATAATGACACACTTGAGAAATGTAGGTAGCTCCTTGGCTGCTCACATCTCTCAGTTGAACAAGGTAAAGCCACTGAGCCACAGAGGGACAATGAATAACGCGCAAGATATATGTGCAGTGGGTGCCAAGAAAGCCACTCATATTCTTCCCTCCCTCCAATGATAACATAAGGAAACCCTGGTTTCTTTATCAGACTTGTCATCCTCTTGACTGTCACAATGGAAAGCATGCATGACAATACGTTAGCTACAGCTGAAGCCACTTCATCACATAAAATGACCTAGAGCTAGCCTCAATAAGCAAATACTGATAGCTCCCATCTTAGAACTATCCCTTTTATCTGTTCATGCTTTTGGTTACCTTTGTTACTCACTGCATGTGCAATGTTGTTACTGACAACAACAGAAACTGCCTATTGGAAAAGACACTGGATCACACCTAACAGGCTGTGGAAGAGAGAGTACAGATTCATTCAGAAGATTCCCTAAACCCCTGGTCAAGCCCTTTCCTCTCAGGAGTGTAGATGCATCTGCTCTGGGAAAGATTAGATGCCAGGGTTTTGCTCAGAGGTGAAGGGGACAGATCTTTGTTGTTGCCTCTGCCTTTTCTTCCTTGTTCAGTTACCATTTTGCCTTACTACTTTTAACTGGAAAATGTTGGCCATTTCAGATATTTTGTAGAAGTCTCTCTCATACCCACCCTAGAGCAGGCAGTCACTCTTCAGTTCAGTGTCTTCTCCGCTGGTTGCACAGATGTCCCTCTCTGGTGATCATGTGCTATGTGGCACCGCATGGCTACAGAGAAAGGGTCACGTCTCCTTATGAAGCAGACAAAACCCTAGCCAATGTACTCAGGGAGCAAAAGAACTTCAGGAGCCCAGCATCCTGAATCACTGAGCAGAACAAGTTGAGGTTAGCTTCATGCTTTTCAAGGGAAGGGAGCACACACCCGGGAATGAAATTAGCTTTTGCTGTCATCACTGCAGCTTTATAAAGTTATCCATAGTATACTCCTCATAGATTGCTTATCTTCTAAAAGAGGCACAACCATCCTCAGGACTAGGATCTGTGACTCTCTTCTGCCCCAAAACAGGATTCTGGTATATTAGCGAAGGGGGGAGACTGCATGATCATGACTAGGTTGATGGCTTTGGTCCCTTGACTCCCGTGTATCAAAACAAGCCCTTATTCCTTACATCAGTGAACATCAGTTTCCCCATGGTGCACTCTACATCACAAGGCATCTCATCCATCCCCCTGGAAATATGACAACTTTCTGTATCAAACATGTTTTTATTTTCAAGGAGAAAAATGCAGTGCTTACTCAGATTGCTGGAAACCCCACGGCGAAAAGTTTTACTATTTTACTAAGGAAAGGAAAAGCTATCAGGAATGTAAAGCACACTGCTCTTCTCATGGCTCCAAACTACTCAAGATAGAGAACAAGGATGAGATGGTAGGACTTTGTTTCTGCTCCTTTGTGTGCACTAGCCACTGACTTACACCTTTCAAGATGCCTGTGTAGTGATGTGAGCTATAGCTCTAGAAAAGATGCTCATATTACAAGGTAGGATGGTCCTCAACAGTGCCCTGGGTTATGTTCTGAATTAAAATCTCAACCCAGAAAAGGATGTGGGCACTTAAATTGGGACAAGCCAGATATAGGTGGCTAAGTAGAACACTCTGGCTGCATCTACATGTGTCGCTTTGGCAATGTTGTTATTGTGCCATGATTTAGTACTTCCTTACTAAATCACTGCCCAGTAGCAGCCCATACTGTGCCTTCCACATGGTGCATGGTTATTTTTAGCAGCTAATTTGCTGTTGGGGCACGCTATAATGGGGGAAGTGTGTCGCTATGGTGAAGTAGCTGCTGGTCATATGTAGACCCCTGTGGATACTACATCACCGTAGAGCATTGCTATGTCACCATAGCATCACATGTAGATGCTCTCTTTGACTCCCAAAAAGTATGCTCAGCCGGCATTAAAGAGGTGTCTCATGCCTGTAGGCATCTGAGATTTCAACATTACAGTTCCCCAGAATCATAAAGTTTTGCTTCTTCAAAAGTCCATTTAATCCTGGCAGCACAGAGCAGCTAATGTGCCTGGCTCATGCACAAGCCTTGCACAAAGCACAAACTAGGCATCCCAACACCTGTTCTGCCCACAGAGCTGGATCTGATAGGCATTCCCAGGATATGCCTAGGGAGCAACCTCTGCACAGAATGTACCACCATTGGCAGCCTCTTCTAATCTTGAAACACAACCAGAAGATGTACCCCCTCCTCCCATATACCAGCTTAGTGGTTATTGCACTTGTCCCAGATTTAAGTGACCAGAGTTTAATTCTGAGGGATTCCTAACCTCTATTACTCACTACCTGCAAGGAAAGTGCCATAATTGCCAAGCTGTAGACTGGAGCAGGTTCAGCCTCTTCTCTATCCCTTCTATTGAGCTTGCTCACTTGAGACAGCATAAACAGAATCATTGAACCTGGCATAGACAGGGAGATTTTACCTAAGTCTTTACCCTGCCGGTTGTAGTATTCCCCTGGGAAGGTGGAAGACCTGAGCTGTATGCCCTGCTCTCAGGACTGCTTAGCTATTTTACATTGGGCACTCAATACAAAGAATATAACAATGTAAGAAGAGAGAAATCTGTCTGTCTCTGTTGTGTGGCCCCAAATGATTATGAAATTATGTGGCCCTTTTCCCATTGGTGCCATGTCTGTTCCTGTCAGCTACAATGAGGGCAGTTATGATATTACCCTTGTATGAGATGGCCACATCAAAATGATCAACAATCTCTGTAAAACCTATGGTTAACTCATACAGTGAATTTGGCTACTGTGGACACTTCTCTCAGAGCTGAAACATCTGTTTGAGGCCTGGAGGATGGGTTTCTTGTTCTCTTGGAATCCAGAGTCAGGAGGAGTTCTCCCTCTGGACAGGTGCCTAGAGCTGCTCTTGCAAGGTGCAAGGCAGAGCTCACTGTTTTTCTTTCAAAATGCAGACACCAGGGTTACCATGGTCTTGGCCCAGAGACATCATGCTTTTTTCCCTGGAATTTATGGATAACAGGGATGAAATTCACTTATTCGGTTTATTCCCAAACAGAATTTCCTAAACCCTCTGGCACATTTCCATTGGCTTGGACTAACCCGCAAAGGAATTGCTTCAGACTGGAAGTGGGAGGATGGCACACCTCATCCCATTAACCTGTGAGTCTCCATCACGTCTAGAAAACTAGTTTATACCCTTGTGTTTTTCCTCACAGGATTTGTATGGTCTTGCTGATGACCAAAAAGGTCAGTCAGGATTCCCAAGATTATGCCCATCTTTTTCTACCAGAACAGAAAATTCTTGGTGTAGGATTATCAAGTGTCTTCATATTTTGTACTGTTACAATGTGTCACATGGAGAGAGGGATACTTTACAAGTTTTTTTGTATGAATCTAAAGTAAGAAATGAAATAATGATTGAATAAATGTCTGAGTCCTTTTGACAGACATAACGTTCTCTCACGGTACAAGAAGTAAGTGTCAAGATATCTCAGCACGCCATATATTTCAAAACTGAACAATTCCCTTTGCATGACATTACCATTAGACCTTGGGAGTTAAAAAAGGGAAAATGAAAATCACCAGTACTAACTTGCATGAGAATGAGAAAAAGCAGAAAACAAGATGCCATCTCAACTCAGCTAACAATCTCAAAGAGAATATCCAAGTAACAAAGATCTACTGGTTATGAGTCAACTTACTGGATAATTTTTCTGAGAAATTATATTAATGAATAAAACATGATATTTCCAGTATTCTGGTATTTAATGCAGTAACACTGTTTGTGTTTTCACTGGTTTCCTTGGCTGACAAGAAATATTTCTTTTCACATACAGGTTTCCAGTAATTAAATCACAGCCTGGAAAGTCCTGTGCAGTTTTCAACTCAGGACAAGCCTACACCAATAGCTGTGATGAGCAACGACACTGTGCGTGTATGAAGATAACTAAGTAACTGTGTTTGTTGCACCAGAACAAGGAGGAATAGAGAATCCATGAGAAACACAACCAGGGAGGTCCCAAAGGCAGAGAGAAATCATTAACTTTTGAATTAGTTAAGTTGCTTATTTTGTCTGAGGAGCTGCAGTTTCCGAGGTTGTGGTAAAGCCCTTCCCAAATGTTCCTTGGTGAACTAAGGACCAGTGGTCAGTGTGACTTGCTCCCATTCTGGCTTCATCTGGCTTTATTTGAAATTGGCAATTTGTTCAAAAGTCAATAAATACCTTTTGTCTGGTGTTTCTCAGAAAATACTATTTGTCACTATTTGAAGGAGAGCCACACGCATGATCAGCGGTCAGGAAAATAGACCTTATGATAAGAGGTTGAGAGGTATGGGACTCTTCAGCCTGGAAAAGCACAGGCTCAGGGGTGAGCTGATGGCTCTCTATAAATTTATCAGGGGTGCTCACCAGGATCTGGGGAAA